GAAATCGTGTTTTCATTTTGAAGGAAGGAAAATGGCTCGAGCATAAATTATGTTTCTGATCATATTTGGCAATTTCAGATTAAAAATAAATTTCCACTTTGGGGTTATAGATTGCCATCTATCAGCTTCGTGAAAAGGAAAAAAGGAATTAAAAGAAAAATCTGGCTGTACAAATTGCCTTGTTATGACCTACTTATTGAAAGTAATTTTTTATTTTTTTTTTTCCCCCCAAGAATGAAATCTTTCACTGTGGGGAGGCGTAGTATTGTATGTCTATAGGTTTGCAGGCAGGTATATAGGCACGGGTTGCACGGGAGGATGTATTAACCGTCCCCGCAAGCAGCTACAAGCAAAATAGATGCTAGAATTGTGCTAGGTATTTCTGAGAAAGCCAAAAAAAAAAAATAAAATTCAGCAATGGTGTTGTTTTACAGGATAGAGGGACCTTAAATGCAATTTTGCATCTGGTTATCAGCCGTCGGGACCGCTCAAACCTGCAGATGAGATGTTTGGGGTTGGTCAAAAAGCCTGAGTTCGGGGCAGCGGTTGCTGGAAGGCTCCCAGGACTCGCAGGAGGAGCCAGGATCTCTCGCAGCAGGCTGTGGGAAACAGTGGCCTGGGCCAAACCCCACATTTCTTCCTTGGAGGGTGTTTTGAGGGGACCGATTTGCTTAAAACATCTTAAAATGAACACCACCCCCCCGCAGCTGGCCAGCGGGAAGGCGCACGTGAGCCGAGGGGAGGAAGATGTTTACGGAGGTGGCTGTGAACTGGCACTGCCGCCTTTCACCCCCTCCAATCTCTTTGTAGAAAATTGAGTAAATATCTGCTGAAAATGGTTTTGCCTGGCTGACAAACTGCCGGGCTTTGCAGCCGCTGCCCTCTGCTCTGCCTTGCAAGCCTTATCCCATCACCGCTCCCGGGGAGATGCTCCTCTGCAAAGCAAACCTCACGTAGTCTCCTGCTCCTTCTAACCCCTTCCCCGTCTGTGGTTTCAGCATCCTCCCTGCCATCTCCCATGGGGAAATCCTTCCCATTCCCAGTCCCCAGCCATGCCGGCCCCTGTTTCCCTGCCCGCGCTGCTTGTGCTACCCTGTTTGTGGTCTCTGCCAGGAGAGGGGGCCTTTAGCCTTGCTGGAAAGGAGGAGGTTGAGGAGATAGATACGGAGATAAATATACACCTAGAGCGTGCCTGGGCTTTGCTGGTTCTGTTTGTCTCCTGCCTGTTGCTCGCAACAGAAAAGGAAAAAAAACCACAACCAAACCCCCCAAAATGACTTTTATCTAAGTAGGAAGAAAGGGAAGTAGCTGAAAGCCAAGAGGCAGCGTTTCATGCTCGGGTAGGTGCTGCTTTGCGAGCGGCTGAGGCGGTCTACGGCAGACTCTTCTTCTGCTGTGGTCAAAAACCAAGAAAGGAAAAAAAAAAAGACTCTCTCATCCCCAGAGGAGGCTACAAAGCTCTCTTTCTCTTGCTGCTGACCCTTCACAGCTGGACTCAGTTGCTGGCTCCTCTACTGCTGGAGCAACTGAATTATTTAAAGGAATCTTGATTTCGTTTTCTCTTTGCTGTTTTCATGCGTTGTGTTTATTGTCTATAGATATTTTTATAGTCTGAAGCAATTACAGCTGTCAGAAGAGAGACGAGCTGTGACAGGCTGATTTATATGTACATTGTATGTATGCAAGAGAGGGAAAGCCGGAGACTGGGAGATAGACATGGGATTCTGCTGGGCTTTAGTATGCGGGAGCTGGTGAGATTGGATTTAAATTCCTTGGGATTTTCAAACAGCGCTGATGATCTCTTAACAGTGGGCCAAATTCAGCCCTTGCAAGGGCTGGAGCTGCTCAGCGGGTCATGTTCTTCCCCATCCCCGCGTGCTTTCAGCGTAGGCAGGTGCGTCCTCTCGTGATTTAAGATGCTCCTGGCAATCTGGGCTGTGTTAAAAGGTTAACTGGCGGTGGTTATTGGAATCCCTTTGGTTTTGCTGACACAGAAGATGGTCTCTGCCCATCCAAAGGAGCGGCCTCACAAAGAGAGCGAGCTCTTGCGTGAGGAGCGTGGCGATGGCTCGTAGGTCCTGCCCACGAGGGTGTTCATAGGTAGCCCAAGCGGGGTCCCCATCCTGCCGGGGGGGTGCTTGGATGCTGCAGCAATCGGCAAAAGCAGCGTCTTCTGTCCTTTGCTGACTCGTGTGCCCCAGGGCGATGCCACAACCCCGTACAAGGGGTTTCACCCTGCCACCCGTGGTCTCGCTTTTTGCATTTAGGTTTCAGAGACCCTCTGCCGTGTAATTATGAGCCCAGAGAGGCTGTTGGAGGCAGGCGCTTACCCCTCCCCTGCTAGACCGGCTAAGGAGCAGAGTGAGCTGCGGAGATTAAACTCCTCCTGCCAAGAGCTGGAGAAAGCTGCTGTCCCCTCTGGGGAGAAGTAGGACCTGAGGCAGCACGTCCCACCAGCGCTAAATTCAAGGAGCAGAAAGCCTTGAGGAGAGGAGGAAGTAGAGAGACTTGCAAAGCAATCCCCTTCTCATATGACCTATCAGCACGCACAATAATAATAAAGCTTTATTTGATTGAGTGTTTCCTCTGCCCGGCACAGCTCATAATGTTTTAGAGATTAAATAGCACAGTTAGTGAATTAAGCAGTAGTTTACAGGGGATTCGGAGACTCCAGAGATTAGTAACGGGCTATGGATCCTTTCACATCTAGGTCACCAGTTTGAATCCCGCTCAGGTTGGCAGCAATTTCGAGAAGGGGAGGGAAAAAAAAAAAAAAAACCTAGAAAAAAAAATAATGGTGCCGTGTAATAGCTGCAGAGCAGGCGGTGGGGAATGGAGGGAGGGAGGGAGGACTTTTGGATAAGGTCCTGCATCGTGGAGAAGTCATCAGGGAGAGCAGGTGGGGGAGGCCTGTTTTCCCCCAGCTCTGGGCGGCCACAGCTCGGGGGAGGGGGGGGTGGGGGCTTCCAGGGGCGCAGCGCCCCGAAAGCTGTGGTTTGGCGGCTCGCTCTGTACTTGCTGGGCGGCTCCAGGACTTTGTGCTCTGAGGATGGCTCCCCGGCACCTTTTACCAGCGTGAAACTGTGCCTGGAAATACCAATGTGTTGAGCCGCTAGCGGAGGGAAGGGGGAATTACTAGGCATAAGCAAATGCGATATTTGTTAAATTATGAGCTGATAAAAAGTACGCGGGGACTGTGCCTCGCGGCTGGGGAGGAATTCGCCACTTGAGCTCATGCTGTGTGTCTGCGAGGTGCAGAGGACCAGGAGGACATCCTCCTGCCTCCTCACCACCTGCCTGATTTTGGGGAGGGGGGAGGAATTGTCCCGTGCCTCAGTTTCCCCTCCTGCACAGTGGCTTTGCCGCACCATGGGGGATGGTGCGGGGGTAGAGGAGGGTGATTGTTAGAGGTAATCTGGTGCTGGGTGCAGGTAAGCACGCCGGGGAAGCGTGGGGAAAGGGTGGGGGGGGGTGTCCTGCTGCCATCCCGTCCCCCGAGGAGCGTGGTGCGGCGGGGGTTAAAGTCTGGCG